AGATAAATTTGGCCAGAAAGAGATTGAAGTCCATCATGACACTTGACTTAGCTTTAAAGAATTTTACTTGGAAGAAAACCTTATCTCTCTAAGAATTGGATGAAATTTAAATTCTTGCTCTTGAAATCCATCCTAGCTGAATCTAAGGAAAGGATATTGATCAAGATTACTTTAAGACAAGATGAAAGGCCAAGAATGCATTTTCAAAGTCATATTTAAGCAAGCATAGTTAAGGAAGAAAAGTCACATTTAGTCATATCTTTTGAAAGATAAAGATCAAGCTTATCACCTAGTATTGGAATTTAAACCAAAGTTTTGTAATCCTTGCCCTTTTAGTTGAACCTTTTACTATAAATAAAGAGGCTATTCACTCTATTTCATTATCTCATTCCTCATTTCTCTTCTTCTCTTTTTAGTTTTTAGTTTTAGCTCTTTTATTTCTTTAGTTGAGTTATTAGTTTAGGTGACAAATTTGCGAATAACAAAGCTTTTGTTCTTTACAATTCTCTTTCTAAATCAAAGAAGTATTTTTTTTCAATATCTTTTTCGCATTGCTTTTAGATTTCAAATCTTGTTTTCTTTTCTTAAATTTCGACAAGCATTATTTTTATTTACAAGTATGATTCAAGCACTAGTTTACTTTTTACAAAATTCAGCCATCACTCTCTTTCATGATTTATAAGTTTTCCTTTCATGTTATTTCAAGACTACAAAAAGCAATTGGCATTCTCAAGCTTTCTTTATTTTTCAAGTCTTTAATTCTTATTTCTTTTAAGATCTTATTTTGGCTTTTATCTTTAGCTTACCAATGATAGCTGGTTAAGTGAGATCTAAGCCTACACATTGTTTTTAATCTTTTTTTTTTTTACTTCTGTAAACAACCCTAAATTTTTAATTGTTTAGATATAAGATCTTAGGCTTTCAATTTTTACTTGAAGAGTAACCTAATATTTCAATCTATAATTCCTAAGAAAACAATGCTAGAATACTTTCATTTATTATTTGATCTATGCACTTGTAGGTTATAAAAAAAAACAGCAATCATCTTGTTCTTTTGTTTCTTCAAAACTTTTATGTGCACCTTTAACCCTTTATTTCTAGTGATTCATTTGTTGGAATAACAAGTTATTTAGTCTACCTTATTTGCCTAGAATAGGTAGTTTACTTCATTAGGGAGTGGGTTTTGGTGGCTTCTTCTTTTGGCACAAAAAACAAGCATCGTTGCCTTGATTAATTATGGTTATCTAGGTTTGAGGTAGGTTTTTCAAGAGTAGAGGCATTAAACTATGTTGTAATACATTTGTGAGATTTTAGAGTTGAGTGATCAATGCATTGAATTGCTCTACCATAGGTAAAAGTTGGGTTTGAGGTTGATTGATGTTGGTTCATGAAGCTTTGATAGCCATCATCAAATTTCTTTCCTCAACAGCTTTCATTTGTGGTGTTATTCTGATAAATGCCCCTCTACTTGACAAACCAAAATATTTGAGCAAAAATTAGACCAAAGACATGCACCTAGCACAAAAAAAAGTAAAAGTAAGAACAAACCTCGAAGGTGGCTCTGACATTTATGCTCCGACGCTCAAGTCAATGGAAAACAAAAGAAGGAAAGAATGAGGGAAAACTAAAGTGAGTGGCTTCAGTTACTTGTGAAAGAATGTGAAGTATTTATACTTGAACTAATGCGGCTAGCATGATCTGACCTAAAATAGGTTAGGCCAATATGGATCTTAGTGGACCAATAATGGAGTGTCATGTGAGCATGCCTATCTGAATGCATATAAAGCGAGGTTAGAATCCACATTAGCAGCACAAGAGGTGTAAATTCGAGAATCTCGACCGTGCACCTCTCTAGTAATGATCAAACCACATTAGCTTGGCAAAATGACGAAAATACCCTATATTGGTGGTCAAAACACCAAAATCTCCCTAAGTTCTTGAGATATTTTTCTTAATTTAAAATTACTATTTTACCCTTAGGTTTCAACATGTCTACATCATTTTCCTAATTGAATTGAAGCAATAAGCATAGAGTAAACTAAGAATGTTGATCTTAACATCGCTTTTTCTTTTTTATTTATTTTACATTAAATAAAATTGATATTGCTTTTGATAAGAACATGAAAAGATCTAGTGGACTAAATCTATGATGCATACGTTACAATCTAGTCAGTTTCAACGTAATGATTCTTTCTCTTTGTTGATAGTATGCTCTAACTATGCTTACAATAATTAAGAAACTTTAAAACCTTTTGTTTTATTTTTAACTTAATTTTTATCTAAGGAAATTAATGTCTTCCACTTCTTCTTAGTATAACAAATACAATCTTTTATTCCAATAACACGATAGTGACAAATTTAAGATTTTTTTAGTGTTTACTTATAATATTTATATATAACTGTTAATATATTTATTAATTTTGTTAATGTAAAAGTGCCCAAGATAACTTTTTAAAATTTTTTTTATTTTTCAATATTTAAAAATGTTCATTGACACCTTACTTCAAAAGGCAACCCCTTCAATAAGATATTGTCATGAAAATAGGTATTCAATGGATTTAATTGCATGATATCTTCAATAGCAAAGAAGTTTCTCTTTCTATAAAAGACTATTATCCTAGGTGAAAGCCATATTTTACTTTTAAATTTTAACAGTGGGTGTTGTACATATGTGTTGTGTACTAAAAAAAAAAAAAGGTATTGAGCATTTTTTTTCTTTTTTTATAAATAACAAAGATTCTTAATTTTTTTTTATTTTTTTTTATTTTTTTTTTAATTTTTATCTTAGGGTAATCCCCTGAAGCTTTACTCTTAAACATTTTTATGGTAATGTTTTTGTAACAAATTTGTGTGTTTTTCAATATTTAGGATAGATCTTTGAAGTAAGATTGATATTATCATTGGATTACAAAATTTAACTCTTGATGTATTATTATTCAAGTAATATATCAGTATAACTTTCTATTTTTCACTATAAATTGTATAATCCATGAATGCCTGTGGTAACTGCTCTTTTAATATTTCATTCTTCCATATATTTATCACTTTCCTAGCAATAAAATAAAATATATAAGATCCCTATATAACTCAATTAATTTGATGTGAAATACGAATTATATTAACAAAATATTATAAAATAAAAAATTAATATTATAAATAATTTTTTAAATATATTAAACTATATAAAATAATATTTAAATTTTTTATATAATATATAAATTATTAATTTATTAATTAATATAACATTTACTTAATTAGTTTTAAATAATAATTCATAAAAAAATAAATAATATTTTAAATATCATATTAATTAAAAATTTATAATTTAAAAATCATATTAAAATTTTTTTAAATTAAAATATCATATTATATATTTTACTTAGAACCGAGCAAAATTCGGATTCAACTGAAAAACCCTACGAAATAGAAGGTTTGAAGTAAGTCGGGTTGGTTAATTCAGGTAACATGGATAATTCGGTTTGGATTGCGGTTTAAACGGTTTAGGCAGTTGGTTCTCGAGTTTAAACTCTGTCAACCAAACTGATCCAGAAAATCGATTCTATTTCCCTAAAACTGATTTCGACATCTCCCTCACTCACACCCATTCTATTTCTCTTCTCCGCCTCTCTCCAAACCAGACTCTACTCCAGCTATCCTCAATCTTCACAAGTCACAGAAATCTCTCAAGCTCTCACTCTCTCAAGATCTCTCATGTCACAGTCACAAACGGTTTGTTGGCTTTTTTGGGACTCAATCCAGGGCAATCTGATCCATCAACTCTAAGGTAAGGGTTTTGATCTCTTAGCTTTATATTTTGTTTCTAATTTCTTCAAATTTTGGCGTAATTTTCTTTGGTTGGTTTTATTTGTCTCTCGAGAGGCTGGATTTTCTTGTTCCTTGGAAACTAAAACTTTAGCCTAGAGCATCATTAAACTCTTTTAAGAATGCTGGAAAAGGTGACACTGCTTATTGTGTGCCTGATAAGTTTGTGCTTAGTTTTCTTAACTATTTAAGTAGTATGATTTTCTTACCGTAATTGATGCATTGAATAACATTTGGCTGCTTCTGTAAATTGCTGTGGACTTTTATATTGTCCCGTAGGCAAGTGTAAGGAAGGGAATTATTCTCAAGTTGTTAAATGTAATGCATTGCAAGGCCTAATTATTCTCGAGTTAGATCTTTTTCTTCTCCTTTACTTGTATTAAAATTTTGTTTTTTTAATATAATAAAAATAAATGTAATGCATTGGGTTGTTGCAAAGGGGATAAATTTTATTATAAGGTTCGCTTCGATTCATGGATGTTTATGTTTTAGGCATGGATATTTTTTACTTTTGATACAACCTAACATAACAAATCCCCAATGATTCCTCTCTTGGTTATCCCATATTTTGTTTCTCATTTGGCATTGTGTTAAGTTAATGGATTTATTCATAATTAAAGATACAGACCTTTTAAAGATTATTTTATCTATCAATTTTGGCATAATTGATTTTACTTAAGTCAATTCCGTTAATTTTGATTTTCCTCCCATTAATATAGATCGATTCATTTTTTTATAAATTAAATTGATTTTTAAATTTTTACAATCAATCTGATAATTTGGTAATAAATATCCGCCCGAGACCTTAAAGCGGTCAGCCCAGCCCAACATAAACTCCTATGCGTGATTAATTAGGGGACCTAACGGGTAAAATGGAAATTTCGGTGTTGGACCCCCCACATTCCAAATTACAAAAACATCATGCCAAGTGGGCCCCATTTCCTGGAGCAAATCCATCTTTCAATCTCCTGCTTAATTTTTGTGCATTGTAACGCACAAGATCATCGGCGCCACGTGCGGTGTCGGAGGAAAAAAAAATAAAAAATGCCCCCGCCACTAAACTACGTGTCACAATCTCATTGGCTCAATTATGTAGGAAATTGGAGCTCGGCAATGAATCATGGTTAAAGCCGTCCGGCTAGTCAGGGCAGGCCGTTGAGTATTCGATCCGGCCCATTCCCTTATTTGTTAGTTGAACTCTTCAACCGAGAAAGCAATAAAAGCAAAAAGAAAAAAAATCAAGTTATTTCCAATAATAATACCTCAATATTTCTCTATATTTACAATCATAGCCCTATAATTATACTGAAAGGATGTGGACAAGATTTACTGACAAGCATACCTTATGAAAAAAGAAAAATTTAAAAAGAAAAAACTGAAAAAAGAAACAAAATAAAAATTAAAGAACCCTAAAAATCGACCTCCCCTCATTTTTTCCCACTAAACAAACAAACAAACAAACTTGTTCTTCGATTCTTTTCCTTTGTCTGAAAAAAAGAAAACAGTAAAATCATTTTCTTTGAGAAGGTTGGGTTTTTGGTCAGAAATGGAAGCTTTAGACACGGCGGCTTGTTTTAACAAGTTACTGAACTTTGGCTCCGACGTCGGAGAAGAAGCTGAAGATGAAGAAACCAAAAAGAAGTTGTCAAATCTTAATTCTTCTTCTTCTCTTAACCCTAAGCGTTCTTTTCCTGTAAGTTATTTCTTTCATGGATTTATGGCTTATTTTTAAATAAATTTTTTGGGTTTTTTTTTGGAGGGGCTGAAAGAGGCCGAGTTCGGTTCTAACTCGGCCGAGTCTTTACTGTTTGGTAGGTTGTCGGAGGATGGGGAAACTAGAAAGGAAGGGGGACTCGGTCCAATCGGTTAGTGAGCGTTTGGCTTGAGTCGAACTCGGGCGATTGCTCCGAGTCATCACTTCGTCACATGATTATTTTAATTTATTTTTTCCGAAACGGATGGCTTAGTGGAAGGCGATCCTTGCGTGCCTCTCATTGATTGGCACTACGATATTTTTATCCGGACAAATTTATCCATCATATTCATTCACATTATTGGATAAGACAGTGTAATATGGACATCTTGTCGAGGGTGGTGTCGGTATTATAATATTTCAAAGGGCGAATGCATTGTCAACGTGAGTTGCCCACCAGGCTTAGAGCTGTACTAATAAATGTCTAGTGAAATTTCCATTTTCACTTATTATTATTTAATAAAAATAAATAAAAAATTTAATGAGCATTCCTTTATTATTATTATTTTTTAATAACTCTACCTACTACGAAAAGTCAATTTTGTCCAACCTTCATTCTTGTCGCAAAAGAATTCAATGAGACCTACATTTGTATTTCCACTGCTCGAATCTCAAGTGCCCCAAAATATTAAGAAAAATAGTAGAAGGAAGCATTTGATGAAAGATTAACTCGTTCGAGTCGACTGAGTTAAGGATGAGTTCATTTTTTTTCTTTATTACGATTTGCAGGAAGTTGCAGAGGAAGAAGTAGAATGGTTATCAAACAAGGATGCATGTCCAGCTGTGGAAGCATCTACGGGTGATATTTTAGGGACTGCGGCAAAGCAACAGAGCCCGGTGCCAGTACTGGATAACAGCAAAAACAGCAGCAACAGTTCGGGCAGCACAGCCTTAACCAACGGAAACAATGTAATTTATTGTTGTGGGAACGTTAAAGTGCCTGTAAAAGCGCGGTCCAAGCGTCTCCGTAAATGTAGGGACTTGAGGGACCGGGAGAACAGCTGGAGGGTTCAGTGGAATGTGAAGAATGCGAATGCTGTTGCGAAGGGGGCTGGTTCGAGGACCTTAGGAAGGAAATGCCAGCATTGTGGGGCAGAAAAGACACCGCAATGGAGGGCAGGCCCACTTGGGCCTAATACGCTTTGCAATGCTTGTGGTGTGAGGTATAGGTCCGGGCGTTTGGTACCTGAGTATCGTCCAGCAAGAAGCCCTACTTTTTCGACTGAGTTGCACTCAAATTCTCACATTAAGATATTGGAGAGGAGGAGGCAGAAGCAGTTTGAATTTACTGAAATGAAGCCTACGGATAAAGGGTAGTGTTCTGGTGAGATGAGCACTGCCTTTCTCTCTTTTTTTTTTTTTTTTTTTTGCTTAATCTTTAAGTTAGTGTAGTTACTATTTTTATTTTTGTTTTTGATGGAGTTGAGAATCCATTAGGGAAACTTTGACTCTATCGTGTTTTGGTTGGTTGGTTGGGTTATCCTAATACTAGAAAAAAGGAAGTGTCTAATTGGATTTTGTCCAATTCTTGAATCATTTTGGTTTGGTTTTGGTCAAAATGTGGATTGCAAGAATGAGGGTCTTGGTTGATTTCTGTATTTGGGTTGCAATGTGCTCATGTTTGATTATTTTTAGCTAACTTATTTGTTATGAGTAGTAGGAGATCTGCTATTGGTTGGCCCTAGCTTCCAAGGCTGTAATACTTTATTTTCATGAATGTATCAAATATGCTAAAAACATTGAACTGTACTCTGGTGTATATTGTGGCTGCAATCTGCAGAATTGCATTTTAATTTCTTATAGCTTCATATGTTTTCTCCATGCAATGATTCTTCCTCCAGGATGGCTGGTGAAATTTTGTACATGGTCCTGGATTTTTGGTGCATAAATTATCAATTCAGTTATTACAGGAGGACTCGTGGCTGGATTCGTCATTATGATTGACTCGAATTGGTAACATGAGGATGAACATTCCTAACTCCTTGGGAGTATGTAGATAATGTGTGCTGGCATGAAGTCATTGTGTTTTACTTTGTTGTTGCAAGCTTTTGGGGTTGGAACTCTGTGGTGAAGAGCAACCAAAAATTTCTTTTTCAAATTAGGATGAATTGAAGGACTTTGTGTTAAAGAGGCTATAGGCCTCATTTTTTATATCTATGGAATGTACAGATGGAATACTGACTTGAAATTTTGCCTGCAAGGTTTAGCTGTTTGTAAATAATTTATTGCAGCCAGAAACTATCAAGCCAATTAAGATTCCCGAATTATTTTGTTTTATGTTATGCACGTTGGTTTGCTTTTGTTCTAACCTTCTTCTGGTAACAGTTGCACATGGCAGCATGCAAGTTGTGCACATGGGAAATATCAAGGAATTGAGTTGTTTTGTGTATAAATAATTTCTGGATAGGTACATATATGGAAGGAAGAAATGATGTCCGGTATTTGCAGTGATGACAATTTGCCATTGGTATATGTGTGTCTGTCTTCTTTTTTATTGGTTAAAAGAGATTGAATATGGTGATTGAAAATCATGAAGAGATCAGCAGTAAAGATTTAGATATGACCGGCAAAGTGGAGGTAATTATCATTCAAGTAAATTCTCATACACCTTCATTGTATTTTTGCTTGTTCATGTTCACTTTTCCTCTAATTTAAGGTTTGATTGATCATACTTTTTATCCATTAAATCTCTTGGATTTAATAATGAGGTCTTTACTTTAAGTTAAAACTCTATCAGGTTTAGTCAGTTCGAAGTTGTCCAGGGATGAATTTTAAGAGGGGCTGCAAAGGAGTTCCCCCATCTAGGTGGTGGTGGAGTTGCTTTTCTTTGTATCACAAGAGTTGAACAAGCTGCCCATGGCCAAGTTTTAACTAGAATGCTCCCAACTCAAAAGGTTTGAATATCCTCTCTGCGTCCCCACGTGGAAGATGCATCAACTTCTGAAAACCAATGCCTGCCTGTCTGGCTTATTGGTGGCATGAAATACACCGGTCCAAATTGCCTTGAGCTAATCTTGGGAATCTTGGTCTATAGTTTCTCCGCCTCTCAAAGCCTCACAAGTCATAAGGAAAAGAATATCAAGGCTCTTAGAGTTTTAGTTGATTCTAAGTCTAATTGTTTCAATTGCAAGGCATCTATGCAGTCGAAGTTAAGATAGCACTGTAGGTACACTTGATAATTCATGTAATTGTATTGAGTTTATAGTGTGTCGAAAACGTTTAAAACATGAAAAACTAAATTAAATTCGAGTCCACATTCTAGATATTATAAATTATTTTATTTTACTTCATTCTATATAATTTTTATTAAAATTTTAAATTATATTTTCGAATTGTCTCGTACTGTGATTGAAATTATTAATTGTATATAGTGACAGTGGACAAAACAATCTCTGGTTGTTGCTAGAAGTTGTTTGAATGGAACATATCTTTTTGGGAAAAAAAAAAGGATAACCATCCTTAAGATGTTGGCTTTGACTGACGTACACTCTTGCAATGAAATTTTTTACTGTTCTTGTCCCCCTTGTTTCTCGGTGTTATGGGGGAAAGACAGAAAAGATCAAAACATGAAGTTCCACCGAACATTGCATGACAAAGCCAGTTAAATAAAATTAGCTGACGAAGAAGTTAAACAAGAGAACTCCAGCAGATAGTACCAGCCAAGTGGTCCGACCCTGACACATTCTTCAGATTCTTTTCCTGTATATCTTAAGCTTGGGAAAGCAAAGCAAGTTGCAAGTTGATGTAAAAAAAAACAAAAAGAGAATTTAACAGGTTATATACCCTGCACACAAAGCAAGTTAGTCAGGAGCTTGCAGGCCTAGTGGCCTTTGGGAAACTATTTAGTGTGTCAATCATTGACTTGACTCTAGCAACATATAGTTCTCAGCCTTGTTAGCCAGTCAAACGAATCAGATTTAAGTTATAGAGACGGCTGTGTTTGAACCATCATCAAAACATGAAGTGGTCGCCCTGTTCTTCCTGGATCCATTGGGATCTATTTCATTGCAGCTTACTCAATCCCCCAAGTCATAAAACCTAGTGAGAAATCTTACAGCGGTTGTTGATTTAACCAGGATGAAGCAGAACCTTATGCTAGTGTTACAGCTGAAAGCAAGAAACGTTAAAGGAGAATTAACACGCTTGGTTCACCTAAACTCTAAAATTCAGATAATCTTCTGGCTCAAACATAAAAGGCCAGTGTCTATTTTATGAAAACGGACAAAAAAAAGTCATCAAGTTGGTCAATCCACCAACAGTTGCCCTCTAAACCTAGGTCTTAACTTAATACTTGAACCCTCAATATTGTATTTCTGCAGCATGAAACCAAGGAGAGATGGTTTGTGTTAAAACTTATTTAAAGACAACAATGTTTGTTAACAACTTTAATTCACCAACACCAAAAATAACAAGCATTTTACACTTTCAAAGCTTCAATGTGAATTAACACTCTAAACAATTAGAAGGATTTATTTACAGCCAAGATCTCAGGCAAACTGCTCTTAAACAAAATGGTTACATGTATCAGCATAGCTGTATAGCAAAGCTAAAATGGTAAAGACAAAAGTTCCTAAAACAAGAGACAGATGCAAAGAATTAAGCATGAAAAATAAAATGCTAACAGCATGATTATGTGGCCATAAAACGTTAGCTTAAACATTAAGGATGTCCAAATGCCCTAGCACAGCTTCACAGAAAAAAAAAATTTCTTATGACCTGCCTTTACGACGATTTTTCAGTGCTGCACAATCTGAACAATACCATTTCCCTTTCGGCTGTTCTTTCAGACCAACACAGCCAAAGTGGAACCATTCTATCTTGCACTGTTAAAAAGAAGCAAAGAGTTCCATCAAATCAAAAATAGAGTGCAAACGAAAATAGTTTCAGATATGAATATATAAAGAACTTAGTTACATACATCAGGGTTATCACATGCAACCATCTCTCCATAGCTGACTTGGTTGCACAAACAATAAGTGGGTTCATTAGGATCCACTGGTAAATCTAATTCCATACCAGTTGGATTTGCTGCCACCACTTCTGTTGCTGTGGCTGCTGATGCTGTTGCCAGTCGTGTTCTGCAAATAAATGTGGTTCAAATGATATCATGTATCTTATCTTAATAGTGAAACATATGTTGCATGCAATAGAAGGAATTCGATATTTTTTCTCAGCATGATTATTTCCAAACTAAAAATTCTGCTCCTTTTGTCAAAGTCCTTTTTCTTTAAAGAAAGAAAAAAGGCAATCCATTTCTCTTGATAATAGAATCTGTTTCGTACTGTTATAAGTAGTTTTAGAAAAACCAGTCAAAACTATATTGACCTAATTATTATTCAGAAAAGAGCTTTCTCTGAAGCAGGAATCAATACTGGGTGAAATTGAACAACCTACAAAGAAACCATAAATGAACTTATGTACAATACGTGCATACTTTTTACGCCCTCCTCTACCACTTTCACTAGGCCTTCCAGATTTACTGGTACCATCACTTGGAGCAGGCGATGTAGTAGCAGCAGCATATTCCCTTTCTGTCAAAAACCATATTAGTACAAACCAATGATATTACAGAGTACAGAATCTACAGATTTAAAATGAAACAAAGGTGGAGGGCTTAAAAGCAAACAAAGGAAATATTAAACAGTGATGGAAGTAGAAAATCAGCAACATACCACGCCGTAGCTCTTCATCAGACTTTTTCAAATATTGATCAAGTTGCTGAATATGTGAATCAACCTGAAACATGATTACATCATAAATGGGTTTAAGTGATAAGGATGCAAAGCTAGTTGTATTCAGCATTGAAATCTTATTATTCTTTCAGTTGCAAATGGGAGGATTTCAAAGAAATAAATCAACAAAAATGCTAATATCAGTTTAGCAATCACATTAAAAACAAAACCAATCAGCTTAGATTTCCAAAAAGTTTTCCACAAAGGAATGATAAAAAAATTTTCTTCATGAAAAACAGAACCATCCATTGTGTTGATTTCGTATTTGCAAGTCTTTGGTCACTGGTCCATGTAAGGGAGACCATATAGCAAACACCATATCTGGAGCTTTTAAGTTTTAACCCCAAAAATATGCACCCATTTAAAAGATAGTAGAAACCCCTCCCACCACTCTCCTAACGTAGCCAATACTAAAAGATTCTAACAGCATTGTCTACTTACACTATTCTACACCAAAACACTGCTTTAGAATAGCAACAATTCAAACCAAGAATTTAAATTGAACTGGATTTCTCAGTCATAGTTATTGCATATGAATCACATAAATATGTGAACGCATCAAATATCAAACTTCAGAGGAAAAACCACGCACCAAATCATACACCTGAATTGCCAAAGCAACCTTTTCATCTGCAATCCTAATGCTATGCTTTTGTTCATCAAGTGCCTCATCTGAGAATCTAATAAGTGTAGTCTCTGTTGTAATGTTTCCAGGCCTCAAGCCTCGTTTTGTATCCTCTATTTCTTGTTCACATCGTTGTTCATTTTGCTTTACAATTTCTGTTCATATAAAGCAACAAAAGGTAGTATTTCGAGACGAATGAAAATCGGATTTCATTTCATTTAATTCATTGATTTTGAATTTACTATGTTTGAACTTCTCTTTTTTTTTTTATTCTTAGCAAAGTAAAATTATAAATTTCAAATGAATTCCAAACAGTTAGAAATTAAGTTTAAAAGGAATACCTTGTAAACTTTTGTCAAGATCGCGCATCAATGCATACTTTTTCTGAAGAATATGGGGCAGTGATTCCAAATCTATAAAATTTCGATAAAAATCAATTTCAAAATTAAATTAATTAGCATGTATTATCATAGCAGAAAATCAATAATTACGGTTTTTGTTTAGAATATAAGAGGTAGAAATAAGAACCCAATGAAATTAATTTAGAAAAAGAAAACAAGAGAATTGACAACGGAGAAATTACCGGCTTGGAATTCATCGATGAAGGACATTTTAGGAATTTAGGGTTTTCGAGTTCCGCAGTTGAATTTCGATGGGAAATTTCTCTGCTATCTTCCCGCCACTGACGTACGGACTCGAAGCCCTAAAACCCTGCAATTGGGTTACTTTCATCCTCCTATTGACATATTAAGCCTTTCAAAGTCAGCTTGGAATTTCGATGCAACCCAAAAATTCCCTTTAAATTTTTTTTATTTATTATTTATTATAATTATTTAATAATATTTTATTATATAATAAACTAGTATTCTTTTTTTATTTTTTTATTATTAATTTTTTTAATTATTATTTATAACCATTATTTAATATAAAATTAATTTAATATTTTTTAATTATTTATTAATTTTATAAATATTAAATAATTTAAAAGTTTTATTATATATAATTTTTATTATAATGACATTAATAATTTTTTATTATTATAATTTATTTCACTATCATCTTTATTTTTTATCTAAATATATATTTTATTATTAATTTTAATTTTATCATTATAATAATTAATCTAATCAAAATTAATTTTATTATTCATTCAAATGGTCTTTCAATTTTTAAATAATTATAAAAATAAACTATCACTTTAATGCAAGACGAATAGCCTGAATTGAACGTTGAAATTTCGTTTTGTTTAATTTAATTTTTTAAAATGGTTAGCCTGTGGTTTTAGGATATTGATAAGGCTATTTTTTATGTTATAAGAGATTGTTTAAATTGATAAAGGAAAGATTTTTTTTTTTTTTGTCAATTTAGGTTCTCAAATCTTGTAAAGAGCATTTTAAAAATAAAAATCTTAAATAATTAAAACTTTTATTTAAAATGTAAAATATTGAACACATTAAATTAATTTTAAAAACCGCATCCTTAAGAAAACGGATTAGGCTAGGGAATATCCTTTTACCATATTAACAAAAAAATATATTATATTATATAAAACAATATTTTTCTCAACGCATTGAAACTTATCATATTACATTACCAGAAAAATCCATCATATTAATTATCAATTATTGTATTTAATATAAAATTTTACTCTAAATATATTTTAATTAATTTAAAAAATACTTTTAAAGGTGAAAATTATAGGAGAAAATCATCTCTATTACTTAAACTATAGTGAAATTTTTCACTATTTATTTTAGAGTAAATATTAGACTTTCAATTAATAAAAAATTAAATTAAAAACTTTAATAACTTATTATATGAAATGATAATTTCATATATTTTTAATTTTATATTTGAATTTTGTTATATTTCTGTTAATCAAAATTCTTATAAAATTATTTCAATAATCAATTAAAATTAATTCAAAAATCGATCAATTAATCAAATTAAATTGATTTAATTAATAAATTTGATTAAGTCAAATTTTGTACATCCCAAAGAATAATCCTTTTAAAGTCACTTTAACTTTGGTCAATAAGATCCAACATTGGAAAACAAAAAAATAGAAAAAAATTTATGAGAGAAAAAAAAGGTTAAAAATAAAATGAGAAAATTTGAAAATAAAAGGGAAGGGTATCAACTAGTTGTCATGCTTGTATCATGATCCATAGGATGGACAAGGCCCAAAGGTTCTCTCCAAGTCAAGAGGGAGTTCTAGTTCAAGCAAGACTAAGTCATACTATAAGTGAGAGCACACTTAGAGATGTAATGGAGGTTTTGGAGGCAGGATTATGATCCAGAAAAGGTGTGCAAGTGCTGAAACGGGCTCCAAGAGCTTAAACTAGGTGATTAGATTTGACAGCTTTTAGATAGGCCTAAATACGGGTGTAAGTGTGAGCTCAAGTATAGATCCAATCACGAGCCCAAGGACGAGTCTAGGCACATGCACTATTGAAAACAAACTTAGAACCTTCCAAGGTAGTTTCTCACCTAATTTAAACTCTTTTTTGTTAAAATCCTTGTAAATTTGAACTCTCCTATGTAATATTATGTAATATTATGTAATATTATACTATTTATGAGTTATTATATAATATGTATCTCAACCGTTAATGGAAAGGGGCCTTAACTATAAATATAGAGTTCTTCATTTATACACCACAACTTAAGTAATGCAAGTTTTACTCTTGCTTTATATCTCTCTTTTTCTCTTTACCCTTTCCTTAAACACCTTTTATGTATTGTTTTTAACAATGGCTTGGGCAGCCAGTCTTGCAATATTGATTACTTGAGCACTGATCCGAGTGTTATTTTGATATTAGACGTCAAACAAGTCCATTCCTGGGTTTAGGAACCGTACGAGCCTAAAGTTAAAGTCTTAGCTTGTGACAGTTTGTATCAGAGCTTGGTTTAAACCAAAGTTGGTGTCAAAGCTTTAATTAAAAATTAGTAGCAAAAGCTATTCCAGAGGTGGTGATTAGTGCAGGATGCCACCAAAAGCCAAAGTTGGCCTTAGAGAAAGTTTGAAACTTGTGTGGTGTAGGCATCTTAAAGTGTTGTTACACTCAGTGTCAGTGAATTGCACCCTGTTGAGGTGTGTGCAAGTGTGCTAAAGTGTAAAATAGGTACTCGATAAATTACTATTATGGTGCTATGGGTGTGTTAGGTGCACTATGTAGATGCATAAACTGGTGCCTAATAAAGTATGCAGGGCATACTAAGCTTATGTGCAAATTAATGCCAAACAGTGTGTGCTATGCTAATGTGCTATGTTGACATATTACTATGCTAGTGTGCTAGAAGCAGAACCAAAACCACTTAAGTGTCGATAGAAGGTTGAGGTAAATCCCTTAGTTTGTGCATTCATGGTTTAACAGTTTGTTTTAAGGTTATGGCATGATTAGGGAAAACCTAGCAAAAGGCCAAAGTAAGGGTTATAAGGAGTGCCCACCTACAGGTAGATAAAGAAATGTTGGTTCGAAAGATATGATGATGTCTTTGGACACCCAATTAGAGAAGTGCAAGGTGGCCATTATAGATATGTAGGATAAGTTCAAAGACATCGATGGTCGCATAGTAAAACTAGACTTAATGAGATAGAAATTTAGAAAAAGAAAGTAAAGTGTCATGAATGAGGCAATGGAGGTGTTCACATAGAGGAATGAGGTGTTGGAGACCATAGTGACATCTTTATGGGAAAAACTATAGAGCCTAAGGTCATGTTGCATTATGAACTATCGTGGTTGCTAGTACAGGTTTAGGACACGGGTGAAGATGCCTAAGCTGAAGCCATTTGCAGGAAGTTGTTCAGCCAAAGATGTGGACAACTTTGTGTAAGACATAGAATAGTACTTTTAAATGGCAATGACAGTAGATGATGCTAAGGTAAGCTTAACTACTATGTTTTTTAATGATAATGCTCTGTTATGGTGGTACTGCAAGTATGATGGTGTCAGGTGTAGTGAGCTAGAGATCACTACATGGGACCAGTACATGGAAGAACTTAGTCAATTCTAATGGCACTCAAACTCCACAATCATTCGATTTTCCCAATTCCAAAAAGACTTCTACATGCATTAATATTTGAAGATTCATATTCTTCAAAGCATTCGGCCAAGAAGAATTGTGCTTACTTAATGACTTTTTTATCACTATTAAAAGAATTATATTAGAAGAAAGACTGTTTTATCTTTATTCTTAAATGTTTGAATCAAAAGCAATATCATGGGCTTGATAATCCAAGATAAGCCAAACCTATATCAAGATTGCAAGATCAAAGTATGCTAAAGATGATGAATGTTCAAGATTGCATCCCAAGTGACATATTCAGCCAAGACTTTTTAGGATTAAGGAAACCCCATTTAGCCAACCCTTTTGAAACCAAGATAACTCATATCCTTTAAAGTTTAGATAAAAATCAACTTGCAATCTTTATCTTCTCCCCATAAACGAACCCACCATTATAAATAGGAGTTCACTCTTGTATTCTACATCCCATTCTTCACATCTTCTCTTTTTTTCTTTTTTTTAGAATTTTAGGCTTTTTTTTATGTTTTCTTGTATTTGGCTAAGGTGACAGGTTAGCTATTACAAAACTCTCGTTTTCTAAATTCTTTCTTTATTTCAATACGAGCATTTTTTTCTTTTAAACGTTTCTTTATTTTCAATTTACAAGTTCTTTTAAAGCATTCTTTCAATTTTTCAAGTTCTTTTATTCATAACCATGTTCAAAGATTCATCTTAAACAAATATTCATGCAAAATATATATATATATTAATCACTTCAAGGCAATCAAGTACTATGCATGAATATTAATTAAAGTAAATTAAGCAATCTAAGCTCTTAAAAAAATATTAAAACAATTTTTATCAAATAACTTGGTGACTAGTTTATACAATGTGTTCACATGTTCAACCACAAAATCATATATTTACACATATCAAAGCAAGCATGAATATTTATTCAAACTTATACATCATATCATAAAGTCGATACGTTTACCTCCATCCATGTCAGGCTTTGAATTCTCTAATCTACTTCATTTGAGCAAAACTAGGCTTGATTGATGAGGATGACATGCTTTGCTTGCTATACTTGAAATTTCAAAAATGTAAGCTCATTCATGCTCATTTTAAGTTCTCCTAGTATAGACTTAGAAAATATTCTTAACAAAGAAATGTTCATTAATAGGATCAAGAATATCAATTGATAATAATTATACTAATTGTTAGAAAATAAATTTCATATTCTAAGTCATTATACGCAAAAGAAAATTTTGCTCATTAAGCACAAGTTGCCATTTTGCTAGCAAATCATTCAATATTAACTAAAGCTATAGACTGTTCATCATAATAAACATTATATAGCATAATGGTGGCACTAAAGCAAAAATTCTTAAGTAATGTGCAAAAAATCAATCTTTTCTATATCATTTATGAACACAAAGATGATATATTTAATAATCATATATATTTAAGAAATCACTAAAGAGTATGTCAAAATAAATTTTAGGCCATATGAAAACTAAAAACTTAATGAAAACATATTTATTATCAAAAACATATTCAAGAAAATTTTAGCACAAAAGCATAAATATGTCTATACAAATTATAGACCATAATTAAGAATGACTTAAGGTAAAAATAAGCATCATAAGAAAATCATTTACTTAAGTCATGTTACAACCATGTCAAGTCAAGCCAAATAACATTTGTCATATAAGCACATATACTTGATAAGAGTAATAGATGAATCGATAATATCTATCATTTAAGAACAAGTAGTTA